ATCAAGCCTCAGGGTGCCTGGCTGGTTCAGTTAGTAGAGCATGTGACTCTTGATTTCAAGGTCCTGAAGTCAAGCTCAATGTTGGGCACAGAGTTTACTTAAAAATAAAAATTCAAGCCTCAATCAGATTAAGCTTCTAGATGTAACTACTAATATACAGGAAAAAAAGGGACTGAGGAACATATTACATGAAACCACAGGGATGTAATCAGCACAATCTGGATGGTGAGAATTCTCATAGGGCAAAGACATGGCTTCTTTAACAAATGTATAGAAACACGAATAAGAACAAAAAGATACAATCTCATTTGGCTCCTAATTCAAACAAACTGTTAAAACAAAAACTGTAATCAGGGAAATTTGCACACTGACTAGATACATGATGATACTAAGGAATTAGTGTTAATTTCCTCAGTGAAAGGTTGGATTATTATTTTAATCCTTATTCTTTAAGAAATACATATTGAAACAGTATTAAACAGTCTTTATTTTACTTAGATGTCTTCCCTGATACACTGTGCTGGATGTCACCCAGCAGGCTATGGTCCCATAGTTAACAAAACAAATAAGAGAGATAACAGAGTGATGCAGGGATTCAAAGGTGCTAGGTGCCAAAGGAGTAGGGAGGGGAGTCAAGCAAAACTTTAGGAAGGCAACAGTATTTGCACCGGGCCTTAAAAGACAGTGAAATTTTAATAGGTAGAGAACAAGAAAGGAAAAGTGATATTCCAGATGGAAGAAATGGAAGCAACTGCAAAGAGGTGGGAAGGCCTGTCAATGCAGAGCACTGGCTTATACTCACCTCTCCATAAAACTGGTGTTACCATAATGAGAAGAAAAGCAAAGTCAAAGTGAAAAATCATAACCCACTAGGCATCTCTAACTTAACAAAATCATGACAGCCATTTAGCCCTTAAGCTCCAGGGAACACAGTCCCAGGATAGGTCACGACAGTAACTGGTAGCAAAACCATACCGGCTTTCTAGGGCAATCTATCCATGTCAATCCCTGATTTCCCCTACCACACACACATAACTTTGGAAACACAATGCACAAGGTTCTTTTACCCATCCTAGGAAATAATCGAAAAAAATCAGTTTAAAATAGTACCCAATAATAAGCTTTGTCTACCCACCTAAAAGCCACCACCATGGTTTATTTGGCACTCCAACCGAGGTAAAGTTACATGAAATGCCTTCCCTCAGAACATGCCTCAGGTTACAAATTTTTAAATAAAGTATAGCTGATGAAGCAGGTAGATATTTTTTAGTTGTATCTACCAATTCTTTTTTTTTTTTTTTTTTAATTCTACTGTAGTTAACACACAATGCTGTATTAGTTTCAGGTATACAATATGGCGATCCAACAGTTCCATACATTACTCAGGTGCTCATCAAGACAAGTGCACTCCTCTTGCACAGTGCACTATATGTTAACTATACTGGAATTAAAATAAAAATGTTTTAAAAAGACAAGTGCATTCCTAATCCCCTTCACCTATTTCACCCATTCCTGCCACCCACCTCCCCTCTGGTAACCATCTGCTTATTCTCTAGAGTTAAGAGTCTGTTTTTTGGTTTGTCTTTTTTTCCTTTCCTTTGTTCATTTGTTTTGCTTCTTAATTTCCACGTAAGTGAAATCAGATGGTATTTTCTTTCTCTGACTTATTTCGCTTAGCATTATCCCCTCTAGCTCCATCCATGTTGCTGCAAATAGCAAATGGAAACATTTTATTCCTTTTTATGGCCGAGTAACATTCCATTGTGTATGTGTGCGTCTACATATGTATGAATGGATATATATACATATGCATATATATATACACACACATACATATATATGTATATCAATGGATACGTGGGCTGCTTCCATAGTTTGGCTATTGCAAATAATCTGCAATAAACATAGGGGTATATATATCCCTCTGAATTAGTGTTTTCAAATTCTTTGGGTAAATACCCAGTAGTGCGATCTCTGGATTGTAGGATAGTTCTATCTTTAATTTTTTGAGGAAATACTGTCTTCCACAGTGGCCACACCAGTTTGCGTTCCCACCAACAGCGCACAAGGGTTCCTCCTTCTCTACATCCTCACCAACACTTGTTTCTTGAGTTTTGAATTTTAGCCATTTGAAGAAGGTAGAGTTTAATATTTTTTCCTTCAAAAACAGAATTAATAAGTAGTCCCAACGTTAAAATGCTTCGGGAATATTTTGAAAATGAATTCAGTGGTTCTAATATTTTCTGTATGCCAATACCATTAAAATTCTTAGGATATGATGCTAGTGAAAATGAACATCAAGACAAACAGGAATGCAGATGACCAGCCAAAACTCAGTAACTGTCATGTTTATTACATCCTCTTCCATGTACTAGAGTATCACTTCAAACAACCTAGATGAGTATAAAAACTTACTTCAAGTAGGGGTGCTTTTCTTAAAGCAAAGGAAAAAGCAGCAGAGTGAGGTTAGCTTTAAGCAGTCTTTAATCACTGACTACACCTTATTTCACAATAACTAAGACTGGCACACACCCTCCCAGAAATCAAACATAATCATTCCAACTTATCAGAGGAAATGAAAAAGGAAATGAGTAAAATATAATGAGGATTGGGAGTTCAAAAGCTGGGAAACCTGTACCTTATACAGGAAAGTTAAAAAAAATTTTTTTGAGTATAGTTGACACAAGGAAAGTTTTAATAGTAAGCTACCGGAGAATAGAGATAAAATAAAAAAATAAAACCTAAGTCATCAACTTTTATAGTACACACTGCACTTCTGGATCATTGTCCAGGTATGTCTTCAATACTTATAAGAACACCTCTCAGACTTTATGAAAAATACTATGAAGAGAAGGCCTCGTACATTTTGGACTCCATTCTAAACCAGTAGATGGCCACAAAAGAAGAAATACCTGTTTTCTTTGTTCCTCTCAGGTACACATAAAGCCATGACATTTACCTTAACTCTTCAAAACAGGTAAAATAAACAACTTTTAGAAGGCTTCATCTTCTGTCATCTTCTGCAGCTGATAGTCACTTTTTCCCCTTCAAATACTGATCACTTGATCTTTAGATTACCCTTTTGTGAAATTTAGGTTGGATATCATATTCAAATTCAACCTAATAGTTGTGTAAAATACTGGGGAGGATATGGAGAGATATATAGTTTGTGTTCTAAACACACTATAAGAGACCTATAAGAAAATTACAATACAAAAGGAGAATGTATCAACTGTTACAAACGGCATACAATAACTCAAGAACACAGAGAATATATGTCATCTGACAAGTAGAAAGTGAATCTGAATGAAAATATTATATCTTTAGGAATTCTTAATTACAGAGCTTCACCAAAGCACTGTACAATCATCTTTACACCCCAAAACTGTAGAGCACTTTCCAATTAACACAGCTAAGATTTTTTTTTTTTTTTTACCAGACAGTAAAGGTTGGGTCATTCACAGACATGCTATCTTGTCCCCACTTGACGCAAAATTTTATTTAAAGTAGAATTTGCCTACTGTTCCTGCAGAGCTAACAAAACCAAAGTCATCAGCACGCAAGCCACCACAAACTGAATGAAATTGGTGATATTAAAAAAATACATATATTGCGTCCAGGTAGTGACTCTAAAAGATAATTAAAAATAACTTCTTGAGGGTTTTTTTTAAATGTTTAGAGAATGAAAGATGCAGTGATGAATAAGGAAAATAAACCTGAGAAATTTAAAGAAGCCAGCTTTGTTAAAAACCAAGTGGCCACTTGCCAACACTTCTTTATGCACATATGACCAAAGATGATTCCAAGCAGATTCGCAGGCCACAAAGGCTCCTTATCAAATGCCAAATTAAGAAAATTCTCATAAATATTTCAATTTTGATAAGTCAAAGTACAGTTAAATTTAAAAAAGCACTTTACAAAGCTTTGCAGAATCAATATGGAAACAAAGCTTTGAGCTTTTAACACCTGAGTCCTAAAAAATCAACACATATTTTAAAACGTCACATTTACAAACATCTTATTCACAGACACCTACAGCTTAGATTCCGTCAAGACAAATACCGGTCACTGGAAAAGGGATTGGCCTTAGATTAAAATTTCCATAAGGCCATCAGGAAAGAGATCGTACAATTCTGAATTGCAACTGACTACGAGAACCCTAAATCGAACTCTTCGTCTTACTTGAACTCCACACAAGAGCATTTCAGATTTGTACTTTCAACTTCCTATAAATGATATCTATTGTGAGAGAAAAAGCAATAAGGATACTCCTCAAAGTCCTATACCCCATGATCCATTCTCAAAGAGTGGAAGGAACAGCAAAGTGGAAGGAACAAAGCACTGACGTCAATTACGAGATTAACCCCGGGCACAGGCAAGCTGGAGGAAAGGCCTAAACATCAATATCCAAATACGAGCTATCGGGGTAACAGAACGATTGCGAAGTTATGGGGGGTATTCAAGTATTACACCCCCCACCTTCTCATTTTTAGTTAATCCCCTTCGCTAGACGAAGGTGGAAAATTTTTTTCCTTTTTTTTTTTTTTTTGCAGAGAAGGTGGGGGTTGGGGGGAGACGTGCGCAGGATCGCGAGAGGGAAAGCGAGAACTAGTTGGGTAATGATAGCCAGAATCTAGGCCCATTTTCTCTTTAACTAGAAATAACTTCCAATTGAAGAGGGTATTAAAAAGTAACAAATCAGTCGACGGAATTTTCTGAGGGCAGGAACGAATTAAGAAACGAAAGCGGAAAGGAGAAACGGCGAAACGATGGATTTCTGGGAATATTTGTTAGGATGGGTTAGCCTTATTTATTTATTTATTTTTTTTTTCCGAGGGCGGGGGGTGAAACGGGAAGAAAAGGGGCGAAGCCGGATCGAGCAGCCCTGGCCTGGAAGGTCTCCCCGAGCCCCCAGGCGGACCCTGTGCTCCGTCTCCCCCACCCCCACCCGGCGGCCAGGCCCGGCCCGGCCCTCAGTCAGTTTCGTCGGCCCGTCTCACCTCCAATCCCTGCTCCGCTAGGCCCGAACCATCTCCCAGCTGCGGCAGCGGCGGCGCCGGGCCTGCACCTTCACCGGACGCGCATACGAACCCGCCCGGGGGGAGGGGGGCGGCGACAGGCTGCCAAGGGCGAGGGGCTCCGGGCGGCGGCGGGGGTTCGGGAGGGCTGGAAAGGCGCAGGCGGGGGCGGCGGCGACGCGCCTCACACGGAGCAGGCGGAGGTCCCGCCCCGCTCCATGACGGTCGGGCCCAGCCCGGGACGGCCGACTGAGGCGGCAGGGGCGGGCCGACAAGGACCTGGCACCGGGATCCCCGCCCCGTCCGCTGGAGGCGGCGGCGGCGACGGCGACTCGGCTCCCGCAGCCAGGACTGTGACTGACGCAGCGGCCGTGCCACCCACGTGACCAGGGCCGGGCGGGGGCGAGGCGTCACGTGGCGACGCCTCGCCCCTCCCCGCCAGAAAAGCTGGGGGACTGCGGGGCCGCGGGGCCTGCGGTGACGGGAGGCGACACGGGGGCGGTGACGTGCGCGGCTGTCGGGTCGGACGACCCCGGACAGGCGGAGCACCGGCCCCGGTGGCCTGGGCCCGAGCTCCTGGGTCCCGCGGCCGCGCAGGGCAGGGCGGTCGGGCAGGACCGGGCCTGCAGATCACACCCTCCTGTGCACGTAGCCGCTACCGAGGTTCGGAAGGGCGGGGATGGGCCGAGCCGGATGGACCGGTTCTGGGGCTCAGGTGACGGGGGTCAGGCCGTCCGCCCCTGGCGGGGGTCTGGCCGAACCCGAAGCCCCCTAGACCGGCTTCCCGGTGCTGACGTCGGTGCCCCGAGGCCAGCGGCCCTCAACAGGTCGGCAGAGAAAGGAAGTCTCCAGGGACTCACTGCAGGAAGATGCTTGGAACCTCCCTTGAGCTTCTCCCATGAAGCCTCGCCAGCCCTTTTTGTTCGTCATCGAAACATTTTCTGCCACTAAGACTGTTCTTCAGGATATCATTTTCAACACTTTCCTTCATCTCTTAACATCCTGCCCGTCAGGGCAAGCTATAATTTAATTGAGGGTGAAATAATAGTTACAGAGCAGACAGGATTTTCAAAGGGTCTCATAGAACCCAGTTTGGTAATTGTTCAGAGAAACTACCTCTGGCTCATCATTTGAAAAACACTTTATAATCTCCTGCCTCTCACCTGTTTTCTTTCTGTGAGGAAGCTTCAGGAAGCTGTGTTGTCTTATTTTGTTTTGTTTACTTTCTGCTAATTTTGAAGAAAGCATTTTGAAGATTGCTTTTGATAAGGTTCAAGGTTTTTGAGGAGCTTTGTGATAAAGTATTATGAGGAATGTGCGTATGAAAATGTTTTTATCAGGTGCCTGGGTGGCTCAGTCTGTTAAGCATCTGCTTTCTGCTCAGGTCATGATCCCAGGATCCTGGGATCGAGTCCCTCATCTGGCTCCCTGGTCAGCAGGGAGTCTGCTTCGCCTTCTACCCCTCCCCCATGCTTGTGCACCTGCGCTCTCTCTCTCTCTCTCTCTCTCTCATCCTTGCTCTCTCTCAAATAAATAAATAAAATCTTTTTTTTAAAAAAAAAGAAAATGCTTTCATCAGCCCTAACAAATGGTAATTCACCAACATCAATAGAAATACAATTTTTTTCTTTTTAAAATTCTGAATTGACCACCTATTATTTTTTAAGCTTCACTGTTTATATCTATATAGATTTTATCTTTATATGTCTATAAAATGAGGAAGTATACTAATGCAAAATTCAAAAAGCACTCTGACGAAATAGAGTGAAAAAGAATTCCTGCTCCCATCCCTGCCCTTCAGCTACCATAGTCCTGGAGGCAATCATTTAGCATATATTTATGCATGTTCTAATGTATCCCTCCCAAGAGATGTTATCAATAAACATGAAAATACAGTTATACAGGGGCGCCTGGGTGGCTCAGTCGGTTGGCAATCTGCCTTCGGCTCAGGTCATGATCCCAGGGTCCTTGGGATTGGGCCCCGTGTTGGGCTCCCTGCCTCTTCCTCCCTCCCCTAGCTTATGTTCTTTCTCAAATAAATAAATAAAATATTAAAAAAAAAAAACAGTTGTACTTCTTTTTACAGGAAAGATAATATACTATATACACTGTTAAGTTCTTTCCTTTTTTCACTTAAAATATCCTGGATATCTTTCCATATTGATGTGGGGCCACAAGCAAATGGTCAGGGATTCTTGAGACGTTTTTGGTGCAAAAAGGTGCTTATTATTATAGCATGAGAACAGGAGCTGTGGGCAAGGAGCTGCACTTTTGTTGTATGAAGCCAGGGGTGATCTGCTTAGAGCTCAAGGGCGTGCAAGGAGTATTACATCATAAACGTCTTCCTCGAATTTCTACTAGTAAGATTAGTTTTGGAAGATTTCTCTGGTGCTTATCATTTGGCTGGATATTAATTATCAGTGAGATTTACAGGCAGTCATGAGACCCTTTAAAAATGGAGCAGTCAGCCCCTGTTTGATCCTTATCTAAACTATGCGGGCTATAGGTCACCTCTCTGGGCTAAAGGTGAACATTTTTCTGCTTCTACACATCATCACATATCACTACATAAAGAACTGCTTCATTCTTCCTAGTGGCAGTATAATTTTCCATTGTATGCAAATATCATATTTAGTCAATCCCCATGGCTGGACATTTAGATTGTTGCCAAGCCAATATTATCACAAACTAAGCAGCAATTGATAACTAATTACACCATGCAAAGGGCAACGATACCAATAAATTCTTCAACTGGAACCTTTAGATCAAAAGGTATTGTTAATTTTGATAGATATTGCCAAATTGTCCTCCATAGAAGTTGTGCCAATTTTATTTGCTTTCTTTCAAATTTGGCCTAGGAAGATTTACAAGGCTATATTGGGAGGGAGTGGGGATGAAAAGGGGTAAAAGGAAGATTATTTATCATTTTATACAATAATTAAAAAAGTTTTGGGCGCCTGGGTGGCTCAGTCGTTAAGCGTCTGCCTTCAGCTCAGGTCATGATCCCAGGGTTCTGGGATCGAGTTCCACATCGGGCTCCCTCCTCGAGGGGAAGCCTGCTTCTCCCTCTCCCACTCCCGCTGCTTGTGTTCCTGCTCTCACTATCTCTGTCTCTGTCAAATAAATAAATAAATAAATAAATCTAAAAAAAAAACAAAACAACCAACAATTAAAGAAGTTTTAAGATGCAAATTGATATTAAATAAACTTTGCAAGAAAGTTCCTTTACTTATATTGGAATAAATGTTACTTGGAACAAATGCTAACCAAATGATGATATGCTTTTTGTTCTGTAAAGGATCATGATAACCTTTTTTTTTTTAAAGATTTTTCTTTATTTTTTTTTAAAGATTTTATTTATTTATTTGAGAGAGAGAATGAGAGAGAGAGAGAG